TTTATATATAGAGCATTTCATTTATATTTTCCATAATTTTTTGAGAGTTAATGACTGGAGATATCTTTGCCGTTGCTTAATTTCGTTTGCTTTCTTGCAGTTTTTCGTGGAGTTTCAAAGCTTTCATAAGAACAAAAAAATTTAAAACTTTAAGCTTTTTTTAGCCGTTTACACAGTGAACGCGCTAAAGTTGCATATATGTGCTTGTAATGTTATGCAATATGGAGTTTGAGTGGTGCTACACAAAGCCAGTATGTGTGCGAGTGTATTTAAATAAAGTGAGGTTGTGAGCATTGCATTCTCCGCATAATTGCCAAGTTGCGTGTATTTGTATGTACATGTGGCAACGTAGCATATGCATGCTACAATATGTGAGTGCGCTTCTTTTCGAGTACTTTTGTAATTTTTTTTTTATAATAATTTAAAGCATTTGTGGTGAATTACACGCATAAGGTGACTTTGGTTAGGTACGCATTTGAAAAGAGTCTCAGTGGTTTCAGAAAATAACAAAAACAATGTTTATATTACAGGGTGATATTGGACTGTAAGTTTAACGGTTATTTGAGTTTACGACAATGTGAACAAATTGTGATACTCGTGAGTGGTTTTTACGTTTAGTTATGATTGTGTTGAATGATTAAATGCGCTGTGGTGGGATTGAGGGTTAAATAAATTTTGATGGGATATTACTTACTAATATAAATAACAATTTAAATGATCGAAATAAAATTTGTAGTTTCAAAAAAAAAAAAAAAAAAAAAAACCTAAAAACTTAATTGTAACTGATGTAATTTTCAATGCTCATATAGCATCTTTTTGTTGCTGATGTGCTTATTAATTAATTTTATTTATTATTTAATCCCCATTCTTTATTTGGATATTTTTATTTATGCGTTAGACACATGATCTACACAGACTTATGTAATTAATGTTTGTTTATATACACCGTTTACGCCGATTACACATTCGCCAATTGGGTGTGAGAGCCAATCTAAAAGCCAATTGGATTTTTGTATTTTACAAGCCAATTAAAGTTGATCGCGTTTTCGTTCTCGCTACGCGTATTTATGCGAACTGTAATGGAATTTGTTGCGTAATATGCAAAAAAGTGTTTTTGAAATTTTATTACTATTTTTTAGGTATCTATTTTTTTGATGTACAGATAAAGATTTTTGCTACATTTTCAAACCGATATTTTACTATTATATGTTATTTACTTTATTCGACAATATTTTTACAAAACATATATGTATGTTTACATGTATATACACAATGAACTAAGCGAGCGTACACTCTGAATTTAGTTTATTCTCTATTTTTAGCAAATTTTATTTAGGTCACAGCTTAGTTTATGATTATTAGTAATCAATTACTTGCCAAATTGTAATATATAAACACTTTCTATTCTTTTAAATATTTACATTAAATAAATAAATTTTAATTATT